GAAGTTTGAGGATAGTGGAGGGGAGGAAATGAAAACAGGAGTTACAAATAACTCCATAAGAAAATGTGGCTGAAAAGAGAAGATATATAGGATATTGGAAAGAGAGAATAGTGAGGATTTTTTTAAGTTCTATATTGATACATTTTCTTTACACTATTTTTAGCAATACCATGAGTTCAATGATCTTTCCTACCCATAGGACTTCAAAATCTCTATCTCTAGCCTTGACTTTTTCCCAACTTTTCACCACCAAATTGCCAACCACACTTATGGAAAATTCTATATTTATGGCCCACCCAAATTAAGCAAATGATGGGATGAGGGTTGCTGTAAAACCTGGTTCCAGTTACAATTCCCAGAAATCAGAGGTGTATTCATAACGAAGAAGCCACCAGAAAAATCTTACAGACTTTGATTCATATGCCTCTTCTATTCAAAACCTTTCAACAGCTCCTTTATGCTTAATATGTCCAAAACCTATCCTTCCCCCAGTTCCCCGAAGCTCTATGCTCTTTAGTTTTCTCATCTATAAAATGGGGAGATAGTAATATTTAATCAAAATATTGTTATAAGGATGAAGGGAATTAATATATGTAAAGCACTTAGAACTATGGCTGCACATACTATGTATGTATTTGCTGCGTGATTATCTCGATAAATTACACTACATTCCTCAAGCCAGAAACCTGGGGTCATCCTTGATTTCGCTCTCCTTTAATTGTCACATCCAATCCATCTCCAAGTTGTCAATCTACCTTCAAAATAAATCTTTAATTCATCCAATCCCCTCTATTCTACCTCATTAATACAAGCCACCATCACCTCTTGCCTGGAATACTAGAAACCTCAACTTTTCTCCCAACCATTATCCACACAGCAGCCAGTTTTGTTTTGTTTTGTTTTGTTTTTAAGTTTACTTGTTTTCGAGAGACAGAGACAGAGTGCAAGCAGGCAAGGGACAGAGAGAGAGGGAGACACAGAATCTGAAGCAGGCTTCAGGCTCTGAGCTGTCAGCACAGAGCCCGACGTGGGGCTGGAACTCGTGAACTGTGAGATTACGACTTGAGCTGAAGTTGGACGCTTAACTGACTGAGCCACCCAAGTGCCCTTAGGTTTTACTTGCACTTATTTTGAAGTATAACAAACATTTTATAAAAAGTGCACACATTATAAATGTAAAGCTCGGATGAATTTTCATAAAGTAAACATAAGCACATAACCATTACAGGGTCATCTTAAAAATACAAATCTCATTGTGATTCTGGTATTCTTCCGTGAATTCCCATTGCACTTGGGTTAAAATCCAGTCTCTTTCTCATGGCCGGAGTCCTTGCGTGGTTTGGCCTCTACCTCTCTAACATCATTTTATGCCTTTCAGTTACTCTTCATTTTTCCTTTTGCTAGCTATTGCAGCCCTCAAATATGCTAAACTCTTTCCCATCCTAGGGCCTTCACAAATACCGCTCCTTCTACCTAATACTACCCCCTCCTCCCGCAACTCCTCACATGGCTGGCTCATAATTTAGGTCTTGGTTTAATTGCAATCTCCTCAGAAAGGCACTCTGTTTACCCATTCTAGAAGGTTCTGCACTCCCAGCCCACACCACCACACCATCCCAGCCCTCTCATTCTATTTACAAATTGTATCTTAATTTATTTATTATCTCCCTCCTCAACTAGACTGTAAATTCCATGAAGGCACATACAGTTTGTTTTTATTACGACTTTATACCCATCACCCAACATAATGCCTGACACATAAAAGTTACTCAATATTGGGCACCTGGGTGGCTCAGTCGGTTAAGCATCCGACTCTTGATTTTGGTTCAGGTCACGATCTCACTGTTCGTGAGTTTGAGCCCCACATCAGGCTCTGTGCGGACAGTGGGTGGAGCCTGCTTGTTATTGTCTTCCTCTCTCTGCCCCTCCCTTCTTGCTCTCTGTATCTCTCAAAATAAATACAAATAAACTTTAAAGTTACTCAATATTTATTAAATAAATTACCGTCCACAGGCAGAGTACTAAAACTAGCATTTAAGACCTTCCATAATCCGTCTAAATCTATTTTCAACATACTCTCTACTATTCCTATTTGTGCCTCTACAGTTAAAGCAAGCAACAATTTGTTCCTCCTATCCACTCCATGCTGCTCCCTTAGCCTCAAAAGTTCTGTCACTACTACTAATACTTGCCCCAAATGTACTTATCTTTTGAGGTCCACCTGATTCATAAAACTTTCTCAGTGGACATCTGTTATGATATGAGGTACAGAATGTACCAGGTTACATCATTGCATTAAAGAGCAACTGGCAAAGGGAAGTGGAAATAAAACATGAGGTTAGAAACAATGTTCTTGCCTTTGGTTATGCAGGCCAATAAGGGTGTTCTGTTTAAACTGGTTAGCAGTGTGTATTCCTCCCAGCTGATAGTTATCTCTTCCTCTAAACTCACGTCATATTAGCCTGTGTGATGGCTCTGAATACCTCTTCACATAAGTGCACTTTTTATGTGTCTTATCTATTATTACATTATACACACGAGGACGGGATTTATGATGAGGTGGTTATTTGTTGGCTGTAATAATTGACACTATTTTTGACTGCCTTTTCGTTGTGCAATTTCAATTTACTTTTGGGGTATTTTCAAAGACCGTTAATCAAGATGTCTTGCCCTCTTCCCTGAAACAGAGTGGAGAAGACATCTGAACTAAGGTAGGGCAATACAATTTGCATTGTAAGTACAGTGACAGAAATTTGTTGAAGCTCATTCATTTTAACAATGCTGCCTGGGTGAGACTTTACTAATTCTTGCTAGAGACATCCAATAGGACTGTAGTTCCTGTCCTTTTAGAGCTGGCATTCCTCATTTTGTTAACTACTCTATATATTTCCAATATTTTTTTTAGTTTAAATAGTGGCCTATTTCTTTTGCTTGTAACCAAAGAACCCTAAAATTGATACAAATGTTTAACCAATTTCCCACTTGTCATAGTAGATGCTGTCTCAAGTTTGTCTTTTTGTTGTTTAATCAAGAAAAGCCTGCATATGGGTCGCCTGGGTGGCTCAGTCGGTTAAGCACCTGACTCTTGATTTTGGCTCAAAACATGATCTCTTGGTTCGTGAGATCGAGCCCTGCTTCGGGCTCTGTGCTAAAAGTGTGGAGCCTACTTGGGATTCTCTCTCTCCCTCCCTCTCTTTCAAAATAAACAAACTTAAAAGAAAAGAAAAAAGAGAAGCCTGCAAATAAGGGCTACCATTGTTAGAACACCTAATACGTGTCGGGTGCTTTATACAGATACATTATCTCTAGTCCTTAAAATTCCCTAAGGTAAAATATCTTGTATCAATGTGATTTTCGCTAGCAGGTTATTTGGTGGAGTAAAAAAAAACCTTTTAGAACTATAATTAAGATTAACTTGCAAGATTTTATTTAAACAATTAAACCCAAATCTTGTTTTTGAGGGTTCTCATTATGCAAACCAATGATCTTTATACCACAAGGTCCTCTAAAGCAGTGAATACCTTCTATTCCTATTTAGCACAGAAGTGGGGAGGGGTTGAAGAAAGAGGAATGGTTAAACGTGAATAAGCAACTCAAGAAAGGATAAGTTGCATATGATGTAAAAGCCCTTTGCTAATTGTAAATTACACTAAGTTTGGTATACAGTGAAAAGTACCATCTTCCAAGCGTCTCCAGTTGATTCTAGTTACAACTCATCAGGATTCCTCTTAGTCCTGTATTCACATCGCTGTGACACATCCAACCGTGTAGGAGAGTACGAACCGTTTTCATCAAGTGTAGCAAGTGCCTAGTTATGCTTGAACGTAACTACACCTACAAGACAGTTAATCTACCCGCTAGAATGGAAAGTGACCGTCCAAGTTCTGAGCAACATCAGGAGCCTTTCTCATTCTAATCATCTGTTTTTTTTCTTTTTTTTTAAATTAGCGGCAATAAGGTTAAAGACTTCTATCTCCAGCTGCAAATCCCTCCTGGGAGGGCCGGCTATAAATTAACCACCACGCCCGGCGCACACAGAGAGAACTTCCGTGTGTCCACATTCCCATTCGTCCCCCAACCCTTAACTAAATCGCCCAAGGGAACACAGGCCTCAGCAGCAGGCTCGAACTCCGGACTCTGGGTGCCAGACATCGCGCGGCGCCCCAAACACCTTTCCAAAAAGACCTCTGCAGAGAGATTCAGAGGTGTGGCTTCCCATCGGGGATGCGATGCAAACCTAGCTAAGAAAAGTAAAACGAGCTGAGAATCCAACTCCAAGCCAGACCCCCAAGTCACTTCTTTAATTTCAGCGGGAGTGGAAGCGGAAGCGGAAGCTCCGGTGGGGTCATAGAGTTTGCTCGTTCCGGTTTCCGGGCCACGTTCGGGGCTAGAGCGCCTCCCGGCCGCCAGCCATCCCAGTCCCCAGCGGCTTCCATTTCCGGGTGCGGCTCCTGTCATAAAGCGGGGGCCTCTCTACAAACGTGGAATCGTGGGTCCTTCGCGCCTCGCCGGGGTCAGCGCGCAAGGACGGTCCTTGGCGGGGGTACTTCGCAGCCAACGGCTGGAGCCGGTCTTCGCGTACCGAGTCCGCACTGGCACCTCTAACCCCTCAGAGCTAGCTGGCTCTTGAGCCCTCACGAGTTAGAGTTCCTGATTCGCAGCCTCCAGGGCTGCAGCTCCAGAAGATATCACTCCTTCTCCCATCCCTGTCCCCATAGGCATGCTCTGCCCTGTGAGGTACAGCATTTGACAAGTCACCCCTACCCCACACACCACTTCCACCCGCGTCTGCCTTAACTTCGTTCTTAACCTCCTTAGTTTGAGACCCCTCCCTTCTGCCTCCAGAAGAGGTCTTTTTCCCCCACTTCCATGAAAGAGGAGTTTTGGGTCTCTTGCAGAAAGATTACCTTTAAGACTGAGCACCTATTTGATAACTAAAACAAGTCCATGCTTACTAAAGAGTTTGTGGGCAAAGTGAAACCCAGTGCACACGGGAAATTATGGCTGAGCACGGGGCTCACATCACAACTGCTTCTGTGGTGGATGACCAGCCATCCATCTTTGAGGTGGTAGCACAGGAGAGTTTAATGACAGCAGTGAGACCTGCTCTTCAGCATGTGGTCAAGGTAAGGTGTCAATTCTCTGAGAGTTTTTAGGGACTGGGTAAAAACCAAACCAATAATTATTCACATCCTATGGTTTAACGGTTATTGAGTCCATGTTATGTGTAGAGCCCTGTACTGAATAACCCAGCACTTAAGGGAGGATAGGGCAGACCCCAAAAGAAGTGCTCATTTAAGCCTAAAGTATGGAATTTAGAAGAAAAAAGGGGAAATGCAAATACAATGCATAGTAATTGTGAAATGGAATGAATTTCATTTTATTAATTTACTTTGCTTTAGGTTCTTGCAGAATCCAATCCTGCCCACTATGGCTTCTTTTGGAGGTGGTTTGATGAAATCTTCACCCTGCTAGATCTTCTGCTCCAGCAGCATTATTTGTCCAAAACCAGTGCCTCATTCTCTGAAAATTTTTATGGCTTAAAGCGCATTGTAATGGAGGACACACACAAGCTTCAGAGGTTGGCCAGTGCTGGTCTCCCAAAGCAGCAGCTTTGGAAGTCAATTATGTTCCTGGTTCTTCTTCCCTACCTGAAAGTGAAGCTAGAGAAGCTGGTTTCTAGCCTGAGAGAAGAGGATGAATATTCTATTCATCCCCCTTCTTCCCGTTGGAAACAGTTTTATAGAGCCTTCCTGGCAGCCTACCCATTTGTTAACATGGCATGGGAAGGCTGGTTTTTTGTACAACAACTTCGATACATCCTAGGAAAGGCTCAGCATCACTCACCACTGCTGAGTCTGGCTGGTGTTCGGTTAGGTCGACTTACAGTTCAGGATATACAAGCTCTGGAGCACAGACCAGCTGAAGTCAGCATGATGCAGCAACCAGCCAAGAGGTAAGGCTTTAACATTCCCCCAAATATTTCATTAACATATTCTAAAATCAGAACCAATTTTATTAAATCCACCTTCCTCGGTTCACTTTGAGGTATTTTGTAAACGCAGAAAAATTCTCGTGTCCATAGAACAAGAGTGGCCATCCTGGTAAACTTCCTCATCACACTAGCTACATTTTTGTGCACACTTGCTGCGTGCGTCAGGCCCTGTGCTAGGTGTTTACTTTACGTACGTTACCTCAATCCTCATCACAACCGAATGAAATAAATTCACTGTTCCATTTAACAGCTAAGGAAACTGAGCCCGGATACTGAAGTCCCTTGCCAAGGCCACATGGCTGGAAGGTGGCAGAACTGAGATCCAAGCCTGATCAACAGTTCTCAAGACTGTGTCTTAACCACAATGCTATACTGCTTCTAGTTAGTGTTTGTGGTGTCCTACAAGTTCAAATATATATTCCTCAATGTTGCTAAGTTATTTTTTGTTAAGAGCGTTGTTCCTTTTCCTGGATATACTACCTTACACACACACACACACACACACACACACACACACACACACACACAATCTATATAATCAGTCTAATTTTTTTTTTTTTAATTTTTTTTTCAACGTTTATTTATTTTTGGGACAGAGAGAGACAGAGCATGAACGGGGGAGGGGCAGAGAGAGAGGGAGACACAGAATCGGAAACAGGCTCCAGGCTCTGAGCCATCAGCCCAGAGCCTGACGCGGGGCTCGAACTCACGGACCGCGAGATCGTGACCTGGCTGAAGTCGGACGCTTAACCGACTGCGCCACCCAGGCGCCCCCTAATTTCTTTCTTAAAACAAAAACAAAGAAGACCCTAGTCATTAAATACAAAGTTTAGCTCCTATACTCCCAAAAGACTGTAGGTCAGAAAAAAGAAATCATTTAGAACAGATACTAAAGGAGACAGTGCCAATCTAGCAACTACTCAATCCCCAAACTGAATCGGTGATTCTGATGAAGAGTGTAAGAACTATAATTTTAGTAGCCATTCTGTGATGATACCTACATAAGCAGTTTCTCCTTTTGTCTCCTCGTTCTGTTCTCCCACCAGTGTTGGTGAGAAGATAAAGTCAGCTCTGAAGAAAGCTGTGGGAGGTGCTGCCTTATCCCTCTCTACTGGCCTTTCTGTGGGAGTATTCTTTCTGCAATTCCTTGAGTGGTGGTACTCATCTGAAAATCAAGAAACCGTCAAATCGCTGACTGCCCTACCTACTCCGCCACCACCTGTACACCTGGACTACAATTCTGATTCTCCTCTGTTACCCAAAATGAAGACTGTGTGCCCACTGTGTCGTAAAACCCGGGTGAATGATACTGTTCTTGCCACCTCTGGCTATGTGTTTTGTTATCGCTGTGTGTTTAATTATGTCAGGAGTCACCAAGCTTGTCCCATAACAGGTTATCCAACAGAAGTACAACATCTAATTAAACTGTACTCCCCTGAGAACTGAAACGGATTAGCATTTTATCTCACAACAAAATTACTGCACTATAAGGCCACAGGACTGATTTTCAGCACAGTATCTAGTATTGTTTGATACTTCTCATCCTCCACTCATAATTATATGGACTTTAAATAACTAGAGTTGACCCCTGAACATGTGTTCACTGGCCCCCCACATATAACTTTTGAATCCCCCAAAACTGAACTACTAATAGCCTACTGTTGACCAGAAGCCTTACGAATAAATAGTCAATTAACACACATTTTGTATGTTAGATGTATTATATACCGTATTCTTGCAGTAAAATAAGATAGGGAAAATACTAAGATTAAGAGAAAGTACCTTTATACTGTACTTTTTTGGGGGTGCCTGGGTGGCTCATTCGGTTGAGCATCCGACTGCAGCTCAGGTCATGATCTCGCAGTTTGTGAGTTCCAGCCCCGCATCGGGCTCTGTGCTGACAGCTCAGAGCCTGGAGCCTGCTTCAGATTCTGTGTCTCCCTCTCTCTCTGCCCCTTCCCTGCTCATGCTCTGTCTCTGAGAAATGAATAAAAGTTAAAAAAAATTTTATACTGTACTTTTTACCGTACTGTACTGTAAGAAATCCGAATATAAGTAGACTTACACAGTTCAAATTTGTGTTGTTCAAGGGTCAACTGTATATGGATTTCTTTAAAAAGATGTATCCATTGATCTTAACCTTTTAACTTGCTGTCTAGATTCCTACTTAGAGTTTACCAAGCTGGTTAGAATGAGAATCAGGACTGACAGGAGACATGAAGGTCAATGTACAGGAAGTGGATAAAAGGGGATAGTACAGAAGCTTTTCCTTGAAGAACAAGAGGTATAGAAGCTCTCAGGAAAAACCCAAGTTAGACCTCATAAAGCGGGTAGTGAATAAGTAGCAGCCTTCTTGAGAAAAGAAAGCATTTATCTGCCTATGAAGAAGGTATTTTATCAGTTTGCAAACAATGTGAAACATAGACCTGCTCTTTATAGACATACTTAGAAACACTTTAGAAGAACAAAGCGCCTTCCATATACTGTGATCCACTTGTTAAGTAACACCTGTTACAGTTTATCAACTTTTAAAGAAGATTCCTTTATGAGCCATAAAGATGGGAAACTGGTTAAAGAAAAGTAGGGGTTGAGTGTATATTGTTGTCTGAAGATTTCAGTGTGAAAGCAAATCTAATTAAGAGATGAACTAAAATACTGATCTAACTTTGTGCAAAAGAATCTTTTTCTTCTTGCTGTTAAGAGTCTGCAAAATGGGCACAAATTATTCTGGCTATTAGTAAGTTTCTGTGAAATGCTGAAACAAATTTTAAGAATAAATGTTTTTGGCAAAGAGCTGTTCCAAGTTGTCATGATTATGTGGAAATGTAAAGATTACTGAGGTGTTTAAATTTTTCATTCAGACCACCTTTGACTTTGAGGTATTTTTGTATTCACATCTTGTGTGTGTGTGTGTGTGTGTGTGTGTGTGTGTGTGTGTGTGTTTGTGGTTTTTTTTATTGCTAATCTAATACTTGGAGAAAAAAATCCTCTACTCCAACAGCAAGAATTCAGCTTTGTGTGAAATACCGTCTTAGAAATACTACAGAAACACTTCAGTTCTGTGTAGTAAAATTCATGCCACTGGATAGTCAGGTTGGTGAAAATATATGGGTGGAGGAAGGATGAAAATAATTTAAGTGCCTCTGCTGAGATAAGTGTTTTCCAATATTTTCACTCATTTAGCAATTCAAAGCACATTCTCTGATAGCACCAAGTTGATTAAATTTTGAAATGGATTAACCTATGGATTTGAAAATATTAACACTTTTGTGTAGCATAAGAAGAATGTAATAGATATTTGTAAAAGTTCTTGTTAGAGCGCAAGGTTTTATGAAAACAAACACCATAGTTAACTAAGCATTTTTAATATCATAATAAGTCAATAAGGAAACTGAACCAGATTCAGGATTGAAATAATGTAGTCCTCCACGAAGATCTCAAAAGCCAGATTTTTCACCTCAGCCTAAGAAGGAAAACAGCAAAGTATCAGCAATTCAAAAGAATATCAAAGAAACATTCTTATACATAATAAAATCAGTATGCAAATAGATTAAAACATACCAATGTGGAAAAACCACAACCAGAATCAGCTCAGAGAGAAGATTAAGGGATCATACCCTGGTCAAGGCCAACACCGAAGCAGTGGCAATACCAGGTCAGACTATACTTCACTCATCATCGCATCATTCCATTTCACATCCTTCTATATCTAAGAGCAGCCCAACACTCTCCACATCCAAGAAAACTTAGGTTAACCTATGAAAAAAATAAAGGCTTCTTTATAGATAAGTTTCAACCATGGGTTTTCAACAAATACTTTATTTTCCATTATGTTTTGCTCTAAGCAAGTCTGCTGTACAAAAATGCAAACTTGGAGGAACTTTTTTGCTTTTGAAATACAGGAGAGTGGAGAAGCATTTATGATTAAAAAAAAATTTTTTTTAATGTTTATTTATTTTTGAGAGAGGGAGAGAGAATCCCAAGCAGGCTCCAGGCTCTCAGTGCAGAGCCCGACGGATGCAGGGCTCCATCCCACCAACTGTGAGATCATGACTGGAGCCAAAATCAAGGGTTGGATGCTTAAATGACTGAGTCACCCAGGCGCCCCCCAAATTTTTTTTTAATGAGCCCAAACACTAGGCATGATAAAATTTCAGGGATGTCTGTGAAGAGATTTATCATCCTAAAGCAAAAGCTTTAGAAAAGATTTTCTACTACATTCCATTATAAACTCCAGCTCATTTAATATACAGTTTGATTTATAATTCTGCTCCTAACAAAGAGAAGAAGTATAGTCATAAAATCTTTATACTGGAATCTTCTATCTTAAAAGTCCAAGATCCAGAGAGGCTACGTTTTGCCAAAGGTTCACAACAAATTAACTAACAGCAGAGCTGGAAAGAGAACAGAGGTTTGATGATCAGATTTACATTTTTCCACTACCAGTTAAATATGAGGCTTAATTTCATTTTTCTCCAGGCCATAGGAAAGATAAAAGAAGCAATGCAAGGGGCGCCTGGGTGGCTCAGTCGGTTGAGCATCCGACTTTGGCTCAGGTCATGATCTCAGAGTCTGTGAGTTCGAGCCCTGCGTGGGGCTCTGTGCTGACAGCCCAGAGCCTGGAGCCTGCTTCAGATTCTATGTCTCCCTCTCTCTCTGCCCCTTCCCTGCTAATGTTCTGTCTCTCTCTGTCTCAAAAATAAATAAAAAATTAAAAAAAAACAGAAAATTAAAAAAAATGTTTAAAAAAAAAGAAGAAGCAATGCAAAGTGTAAGTAATTCAAAACCTGGATAATCAATTTCTGAGTAAGAAATTGTAAGTAAGAAAAGTGAGTGAGTAAGAAAAGAAAGCTGACTGCATTTCATTTATTCGAAATGACACCTTCTGGTGGTATGTTGTCACTGATGTGGAAAAGTACTTGGATCACAATGTCACCCTCCCCAGCCTTTCAGCATGGTGTTGTCAGTACCTAAGTAACAATTCTGGAGACAGCACATGCTTCCTTCAGCCATCTATAAATGTCAATAGATTGATACTCCTTAGTTAAAAATTGACAGCTGTTGGTCTGTGTTAACCATTCAGCAATTAAACTCCATTAAAAAGGGGCGGGGGGCGAGGGGACTAACAAAGTGCCTGTTTTACAGGGGCTACCCTGGAGTCTTTAGTTCATCTTCCTACACCGGTGAAGTACACATTAAAAACGAGGAAAACAGAGGCTGAGAGAACTTAAATAACTTTGTCTAAAAGCACGAAACTTGGGAGCGGAGCTCCAAGTGTGCTCCCGCCATTCACGGCACGCACACATTCCTAGTTCTCTTCCTCAGTACACTTTGCTCCATCTGGAGTGCCTCCCCCAACCCTTTCAACCTGGAGAACTTCTAATTATAGTAACCTTACTCAAACGTCACCTTCTCTAAGTGGTCTCTAACTCTGTCATCCTCTCGTCTCACACAGCACTTTTCCCCACCACAGCACGCCATCACACGCTACTTATTTACCCATGCACATACCCCTCCTTCCATCTCTGCCATCAGCCCCATGGCACGGACTTCCTCAAGAACCAGGCCAGTGTCTTCCTGGCCTTTGCATCCATCGCACTCGGAACAGTGCCTGGTACATAGGACGAGGCTCAATAAATGAACGTTTAATTCGGTCACTGGGCGCCCCTCTCTCCTAAACTTAAACTCCTAGATTACAAAGTCATCAGCACAATTTAAAAAGCCAGCTTACCTCCAATACTGCACGCAGGTAACCATACACGCATCTCTAAGCCCTCCCTCCCCTAGCTTCTACCTCATGGCGGTCTCCACGGCGCGCTGCACAGGTCAACCGGTGCTTCCATACAATGGACTCTCAACAAAATAATAATAATAAAGTCCAAACCCCACCGACTTCAGGAAAGACTGAGAGGGACCGTACTTGCAGGGAAATGCGAGTAAGGCCGAAGCCAGGGCTCAAACCAAAGACCCAGGCACGAGTCCAAAGCCCGCTCTCCGAACTCCTCAAGCTCCTACGCCCTGTCTCGGGAGGTTTGCTCCGGCCCGCGGAGACTGACAGCAGCAGTCACCCGGCCTTTCGGCTCCTGGCTACAACTCAGTCCCGCTTCCCGCTTGCCGGTAGCCTAGCTTTGCTGCAGCTCGCGAGACCTCCCCGCCCAGAACAGCCTCCGCCGGACAACCAATCCTCCGGCCGCCATTGAGTCACGTGGGTCACAGCCTTTGTCGGGCGGGTGCGAGGAGCAGCCAATCGGAGGGCCAGGCGACACTGAGGCGTGGAGCGGGACGGAGGGCGGAAGCGCCTTTTCGGTTGCTTCTTAGTGTGGGGGTCTTCGTCTTCAGGCTAGTGCTTTTTCAGCCTTTGAGCGATTCCTGCCTGCCTCTCAACTCCCTGCCCTTGGACTTTGGGATGTCTTTTGCCAGTTGCCGGTCCTTTGTTTTACAACCGGGGAGGGCATCTGAAAGAGTTGAGCCCGGTATTTCCGGGAAGAATTAGCGATTCAGATAGTGATCCAATAGGATTTACTGCACTGTCCGATTCCCGCGGGAGGGCTGAGGGCTGGGGGCTGGGAGGAATGTGTCCCTTTCCATTCTGTGAACTCTTTCGTTGATCGGGCGCTTGGACGCTTCCTAGATCAGCTTTCCGCAAGAAAAGTGCAGCTAAATATCAAAGAAATGCGCAGGAGAACTGGAAAGACTTCCTGGAAGAGGTGGCATTTGATCTGCGTCTGGAAAGATGGATGGGTTTTGAAAATTAGGAGATTCTGGCAGAAGGAATAATTTGACGCCCGAATTAAATGAGAAAGCATGGGGGAACTTGGAAATGTAAGTAAAGTCGAAAAAATGTAGTGTTTCTAAATTTGGTGAGTTAGAAAACACGAGGGGATACTTAATATGTATGTCCTCTAGCACCAAAGACCACAAAAAGCCTGGAGCACAACCCAGACTATCTAATCAGAAATTCTAGCGTTGGATCCCAGGCAGATGTATTATTGAAAGGTGACCCAGGGATGATTCTGATTCATACCAAAGTCTGAGGACCGCTATTAGTGTTAAAGAAAGGAGGTGGTGGGAAATTTGAAAGACAAATCAAGACTTCATCAAAGATGGTGGCTTACTGGCTGTGTAGATTACTCTGGAGAAAGTGGGAGACTTGAAGATTTCAGAGTGGGAGTAGATCAGTGATCAGAGCTGTACTTTTGACAACTATGTATGCAAATGTGTTTTTAAATAGATCAAAGGAGGGCGAAGTGAAAGAAAGGGAAACTATAGCAAGTGATTGGCATAGGTGAGAGCTAAGAAGAACCTAAATTAGGATTGTGGAAGTGGAAATTGAGAGGTGGCATATGAAAAGCAGCGTGAGGAATGTGATGAGTGTCAGAAAGGGATGGGTAGAAGGTGTCAACCTAAATAAAAAGGAAGACTGAGACAAGTGCAAAATTGTCAAAAAGATGAGCTTATTTAGGAAGAGCAGAGGAGTTGCAGTTCAAGACTTGCAAACGTTAGCAAGTTACATTGAGTCCCTTGAGAGTTTGGGATAGGCTGCATATTTGGGTAGGGAATGTAAGGAGGAGAGAGCTCAGTTTAGAGTCTGTTAAAATAAAAAACAAAGGGAGGCCAGATTTGAAAATTCACCAAGCAAACCAGACCAGACCAACCAGTCTGGTCATACAAACAAACTTCAATTCAGCTTCCTTTGCAAGACCAACCTGACCTGGGTTATTTCTTGTTTGTGCCTTTGGGAACCATAAGTAAAACTTAACCCCTGACCAACTCACTATCATTTAAGAAAATTCAAGGGATACCTGGGTGGCTCAATATGTTGAGTGCCTTGACTCTTGAATTGGGCTCAGGTCATGATCTCACGACTTAGGAGATCGAGCCCAGTGTGGGGCTGAGCGTGGAGCCTGCTTGGGATTCTCTACCTCCCTCTTCCTCTGCCCCTCCCCTGTTTGCACATGTGTGCCCCTGTACACACAGTCTCTGTCTCTCTCTCTCTCAAAAATATATCAAGTATCAGTTTTCTGTAAATCAGGCATTTATGAGAAATGAGTCTCTCAGTCTTTTTATTTTCCTGAGGGCCCTTGTGTGAGATTTCATTTTCTCTCCTCTGGTTCCATTTTATTTTATTTTATTTTATTTTATTTTATTTTATTTTATTTTATTTATTTATTTATTTATTTATTTATTTATTTATTTATTTATATGTATGTATGTATGTTTATTTTTTAGAGAAAGAGAGAACAGGGGAGGGGCAGAGAGAGGGAGACAGAGACTCTGAAGTGACTCCTCCACAGCAGACGCAAAGCTGATAGCAGAAAGCCAGATGTGAGGCCTGAACTCATGAACTGTGAGATCATGACCTGAGCCAAAGTCAATTGACTTTAACTGAATTGAGCCACCCAGGTGCCCCCCGCCTTGGTTCCTGTATTTTAGATTGAAGTTCTGAGAAATAAAAGGGGAAGAATGTAGAGAAATGGAGTGTCTCTGTACCAGACCTATTAAGGATTTCCATTGTAGTTTCAGGACAGGAGACGTTAGACAGTGAAGATAATGGGCTCCTTTCATGCTATTTACCTGGTTTCCCTCTCTTTCTTTCCCCCATCTCTCCCTCCTCAACCCTGGTGCATTCTTTTTTTTTTTTTTTTTTTTGCATGTTTATTCATTTTGAGACAGTGTAATTTTAGTAGTAGGGGAGGGGCAGAAAGAGAGGTGGAGAGAGAATCCAAAGTAGGTTTCTTTGCTGTGAAAGCACAGAGCCCAACGCAAGGGGCTCCTGGACACAAACTGTGACTCCGAGCCCAAATCAAGAGTTGGGACATTGATTGAGCCACCTAGGTGCCCCCCTCAACCTGGTACATTTCATTTGCAGGTTGCAAACTCATGTACATCTCATTTATGAAATCTTATACTAATGGCATAGTTACTGTCACTCCTCAGAACACCCAGAGCACACTGTTCATATGTTAGTTAGCTCTCCAGAGTGGCACTTAGGGTATAATGGTCATGCATGTAATTATATTTGCAAGCTGTTATAAGAGTTGAATGAGCACACAGAGAATGCATAGCAGGTAAAGTGCTCAACTGGATGTTATATATCTGTTGAATTGCAAATGAGTTAATACATGCTTTTCCTCTCTCTAGATTGTGAGCAGGACGTGGTATTCTATATTCTGGCTAATACATAAGGCTGCATGGCAGAAGCAGATATATGTGGTAAATGAGTTTGGCAAGAGACAGGGTTCAGATCCCAGCTCTGCAGCCACTTACCAGGTGTGTAGCCTTGAGCTTTACTTCCCTGAATCTTTCTTCATTTAGGTAAGATGATGAAAAATAATGGCTGTTCCATGTTGTCATAAGGACAATTTGAGACCATCAGGCTGCATATCTGGCCCAAAGAAGCCAATCAATAAAGAAGAAGTTTTATGCTGTGACATGTAGCCCCAGGCTTATCATTCTCATAGGAGCGTACAAAAGAAATATCACACTATTGTTATCTCACTTGCACACAGAAGGAATTGAGGCTTTGGTTACAGCATAACTAAGGTCTCAAAGCTAGGCCAGAGCAAGGATTTCAACATCTCAGATGCTCAAACAATAGTTGATTGAATGAGAGAATGAGTGAAAGTTAGAGACCAGCTAGGGTCAATGGTGAGGGACAGCCAGCACTGTTGCTCTCGGTCACTATGTTCTCCATAGTCTTTGAACCATCTCTATGAACAAACCGAGAGTAGATGGACACTGGTATTTGTCAGTTTAGGTAGTGTGTACAAAGGTTGTGCCCAACTACCCCATAAAATGAAATAATTAGTGAATAAACATTGTTCTTAAATAATTGAGGGCTGCCTGGGTGGCTCCAGTTGGTTAAGCCAGTCCCGACCTTCACAGGTCACGCATCTCGCTGTCCCGTGAGTTTATGCCTCAGCGTCAGGCTTTCCTGGGCTGATGGCTCAGAGAGCCTGGAGCCTTGCTTCCGATTCTGTGTCTCCTCTCTCTGCCCCTTCCCATTCATGCTCTGGTTCTCTCTGTCCCCAAAAATAAACATTAAAAAAATTAAAAAAAATAATAAATTCAGGTGAGAAATTTGGGAAGTGTACAAGGAAGATGTTCATGGAGCTAGAATCTCAGAAACATTACTATCATAGTTGTTATCAGCATCCAAGTAATAGCAGTGAGACTTGGCACCTACTTATATAGGTTTGCTAGTTCAAAAGATTTGTTTTGTGGAACTCTGGCAGGTGGAAATTATAGGCATTATAACTGAAAATCAGGAAGTCATGCTTTCTTAACAGAGAGCCTGTCAGAAAATAGAAGGACTAATTTGAGGTAGTTACTGTTGCTGGAGGTGTTCAAGAAGTTGCTGAAAGATTTGTTGGGAGCTCCAGAATATTATAGAGAAGACTTAGGAATCAGATGGTTGGACTGGAAGATTTTTTAAAGTTCCTTCCAACACTTCTGTGATTCTATTATATGAACAGAAATTTCTCTAAGAGCCATAATGCCACATTTACCTACAGAAGATGCTCACATGAAAAACACCATCAGGCTGATTCTGGTTTGAGGAAGTTTTAGAGAAGGCAGCCAAGAGCAAACAAATGCGTGAGGGAAATTTGTCTCCCATGGATGCCTGTTTTTTTCCCCTTTGCTGGGCATAAACAACACCCATATGGCCTCTACTTGAGTGAGATCACATACATATAGCAAATGGTCTTCTCTCCTAGAGAAGAATTTTGATTTGGGTTAGTAAATATTTTGCTTTGCATTTAATAAGAGCTACAAGGCTGCTTAGGAAACATTTGCTTCAGAGCCCTGAGTTCAAATTGGATGGCTGCCTCTGGTCCTGTTAGCTAAAAAAGGAAAATCTAATTTCATGTTTGCTGACTATGTTCCAAAAGGTCATGTTTTCTTCTGAGCCTTGAGGCTCCCCCCAGCACAGGGTAGAACTATTTAGAAGAGAAAGAAATACCCCGTTCCTACTTCCACACTGTGTATGAAAACGCATTTTTTGAGAAGAAGGTTTGTCGGAGAAGCTATATGTTTCCTTTTGGGGATTGGTATCACAGACATTCGAGTAAAATGTTTTAAATGTATAAAATAGTGCATAAAGACACCA